CGGACTTGCTGGGACCAGCTTAGAACTACTAAATCATGGTGCCACAAGGTCTCCTTTTTGGGTTATAATCAGCTACTAAACAAACGAGACACCTTGCTATGCAAAGCAGACCTGATTCCCTCCAGGAGGCAGAAATACAACACAGCATTCCCCACCTAGAACTCTGGGATTTTATCTCCATAGACACCCCCCCACCCACAGGACACATTAGGCCCTGATCCTGGCTAAACACATCCAAGTTGCATATAGTATACTATGGAAGTAATGGCTGTAAAGATTAATGTTACTCAGGAATCACACAGTGTAAGAAATCCTTACCTTTAGGGGAGAGTAAACAACACGCACAGGTACAGACAATGTGACATTACAAAGTAACTCTAGAGAACTTGCAGAAGGCGCACCCCCCTCAGACAGGTACACTGAGGACTGAAAGGGTCTAGTGCTGTTGGGTAAGCGGGTCCTGGGAGATGGATCCCGAAAGCAAACGGAATTGACCAGTGGATTTCATTCGGGCCTGCTTGCTATTTAACAGAGGGATACTCATGTACTAGAGGTCAGGACAATAATTACACATGGAACTCTTCCCAGGGACTTTTTTGTTTTTCCTTTTCTTTCTCTTTTGGTGTCTAGAAGACAGGCAGGATAAACGATCCAAAGGACAAGGCAACAGGACCGGAGATTGGGGGTGTGTGGAGGGCATGGGAGAGAAGGAAGGGGGAGGGGAGCAATGAGCCAACAATGACAGGGACAGGGCATAGCAAGGGATCTCGAGTGATGGTGAGGAGGGGGTAGAGTTGCGGTTATGTTTGATTAATAAAAATGTATCCAAGAGGAATAACTGAGAGGTGAATGATGGGTAAACATGATAGTGGAGCAGAAAGAAAGAAAAAAAATCGAGGAAAGAACAAGAAAGTAAAAATTAAAAACGAGCTGATACCAAGGGTTCAAGTAGAAAGTAGATGTTTTGAGAATCATGATGGCAACAAATGTACAAATGTGCCTGACACCATGAATATATGTATGGATTGTGATAGTTATACGAGACCCCAATAAAATGGTTTTTAAAAAAAACAAAAAAAAGGTAAAAATTATATATAGGTATAGATATGTATACATGTAAATATATAAACATAGATAGGTGTATCTGCCTATGTGTTTGTATAATGTATACATACATATAAATATATTTATATGTATAAATATATGTAACATATATAAATACAACCAAAAAGTAGATGGACTTTGGGCCTTTACTCTTACCTCAGTACAAGAATGGTCTGTTCTAATAATGTGGCAATGTGTGATACTCACTTTCTCCACACAATCAGTGAAGACAACGTGGGGTGCATCAGCAAATGTGAAGAAAATAGCCTGGCTATCGAAAGGTCTACCGTCTGGGGTCTTAAAGGCTTGAAGGTAAACAAGTGACCATGTAGCAGGGAAGCAACAAAGTCCACATGGAAGAAGCACACCAGCCTGTGAGATGATGAGATGTGTGATGATGAGATGTCGACAGGAATAGGTATTAGAGGTTCAAAAATAAGCAACCAAATTGACATTAAGGAGCATAGGCAAAAGGGAGACCCAAACCCACCCGCAAGAATTGGACAAATGCTCTCAGAAAGGCCACATGGAAGGGGTGAGATATCCAGGGTGCAGTATAACACGGTTGAAACACATAACAACCCTGTAGCTTTTTAAATATTTCCATGTCCTATTATCATGGTCTTCGTTTTACCTCCTTAATCCTGTTAGACTACAGGGTCTACAACCACACACACTGCTTCCAAAAGTCCATGACAAGCAAGCAAATTTTACACTCTAAACTCTGTACCAGGCTCCAGATAATGCTCAATGCGTTTGTGTTGATAAAGTCTCCACTAGGAGACAAAGGCACGGTTCACAGAGAACAGGCCCTCCACGGGTCTTTCAGTCCCACAACGTCTCAGGATTCACTGCGTATAAAAATACCACCCCAATTCCGAGAAGAATGTTTCCCCAAACTTACTATGTTTCAAAGAAATGTTACCACCAAGGAGGGGTTGTTACATTCCAGTTTTCTTAGGAAGCTTGACCCCCGATGAAGCTACAACTCCCAACATTTGATGAACAGCAAGCTGGCTGACGCTTGCTCCCACCAGCAAAACCCCAGACCCCCTAAAATGCCCTCACCAGGCATCTGGCCCAAGAAACACTTACCTAAGACTGACTGAGCTAATATCAGCTCTCAAAGGACTTTGATTAGTACTACCGGGCAGGCTCTTTTGACTATGTATGTATGGAGCGTCTCCGTGGCAGAGCATCGGGGAGGCACGGTCGTCTACGGGCCCGCCTCACCTGCAGGCGTTTCTCCTTTAGTAAATGCCTTAGAGCAGTGGTTCTCAGCCTGTGGGTCGCGACCCCTTGGGTTGTGAATGGCCCTTTCGCAGGGGTCGCCCGATTCATCACAGTAGCAACATGACAGTGATGAAGTAGCAACGAAAATCACCTGATGGTTGGGGGAGAGGGGGTCCCCACCACATGAGGAACTGTACGGAAGGGGCGCGGCAGGAGGATGGTGGCGAACCCCTGGGTTAGCGCTCGCCGGTCTCTTGGCTCGACCCCCTCACCTGCCCTCACTGCGAGAACGCGCTCCCGGAGCGTCCGCTCGACTCCCTTCGGAAGCCAGCTGCCCGCTCCCTGGTCACTCGGGCAATATTTCAAACGCCGGGGTGGCCGGCCGTCGTCGCACGTGGCACCTCCAGAACTCCCGGCGGGGTTCAAGCGGATCCCCGGCCCCGACTCCCGCCGGGAGTCCCCCGCTTCCCCCTACACGTGACCCCGACACCAAACTTGGCAGGAGGCTTCCGCCTTCCGGATCTCCCTTCCTTGCCTCCAACGGGTTTCTGGAGCCCTGCTAAGGCTGAGGAGAATTTCAGCTCCGACCGTGCGCCTCCCGGCGGGCATGGAGCACAGCGCTTCCCAGGGCGACTTCCGCTTCCGGTCCTCCAAGCCGGGACCCGCCCCGGCGCACCCGGTCGCCCAATGGGAAGGACAGAGCCAGTCAGACGCCGGAAGTGGCTCGTCGGGTCTCTGCGCGGTAAGGGGAGCTG